TAGAGAGGCTGTTTTCGGGAGACCCTTTGAGGGAAAGTGAGTGGTGTGTAATCGGGTTCCAAGTGGAAAACTATCTGGAAAGAGTGTCCGGGTGTAAGTTATGGTTGTTGTTTCCCAAGTTTATTTATGTATGCATTCTGACTATCTCTATAGTGAAACTTGTATAATGCATGTTGGGGGAATTATATGGGCTTAATGTGAAGTGATGAATTATTGACTATCTCATGCGATGAAGGTATTTAGTTTACTTGTTTTTTCAAGTGTGTTTGTATTTCATTGTGATTTTGGTTGTTTGTGTGAGATTAATGGTTGGCTCGAGTACCACTCTTGGTACAGGATATTCCCATGGTTGGCTCGGGTACCATGCCTGGTACGTAGTAATTGGCTCGGGTACGTACCACGCTATATGGTTGGCTCGGGTACCACGCGGGTACAAATTACTAATGGTTGGCTTGGGTAGCACGCCTTGTTCATTTTTGATTATCCTTTTGTATGTGGTTTCATGAGAGAATCAGGTTTACTTCTTCTTAATGTGATTGTTACATGTTTGTCCATGAGTGGCTTCGATTTGTATTTAAATACTGGGATGGTTCCTGTTTAGATCGGGATTACATGTTAAACACTGTAGATGATGTCTTAGAGATTCTTGGTGGTATGGGTTACTTGAATGATTTGATGAATCAGCTATTTCTTGTTGTAGCGTCGTTGATCATGTTATTTGTGAATGTCAAGTCCATGTGGATTTGAACCCTGGTCTCAAAGGAGGTATCTATAGCTTGTACCAGTAGCACAAGGGCACTTTTATGTTTATCATGAGTGCGCTGTTAAGTATATCCTAATTTCTACCAGTTTTTTCAAAATAGATATACATATATACATGCACCCCTTCTCCATAGTGTGGGTCCGCCTCTGGATTCAGTGCTATGGTCAGAGAAAGTAAGTTCATGTGTTGAAGTTCTATATATTGTCTTGTTTGAAAATCATAGTCCAGTATTTTGACCCTATTCCCTGTGTTGCTCAATAACCTTAAACACATTGCATTAGTCCGGGCATGAACTTGTTATCTGATTTTCTGCTGCGAGGACCTTGTCTCTATTCTGCAGGACGTTATGTGTGGTTGCCCTTCTGCAGTTAATGAAATAACTCCGGCACTGGTTATGGCTCTGCCGCATACATTTACTATGAGCTCTCGAACTAAGATGCTTAGCATGTTTCTCACAACGACCCCAAAGGATGACTCAAGTAGGTCTATGGAAATCTTCTAGTATTTGTAAATTCCTCTATTCCTGTGGCTCTGGTAAAGGTTTATATGTCTCCTTCTATATTTAGCAAACAAGTCTTCATGGATGCATTTGTCAATATATAGATTAAAGTAAGACACTTTCCTCAACCCCGTAATCGTATATAGGCAGTGTGTTCCTATATTGTTAGAAAATCAGCAATTAGTTTTTTTCTCTCTCTGTATATATTAATCACAACTCTATTAGTCTTTTTCCATTTCTCTGTGTCTGTGTCGACATAGAAAAAATCGCCCCTCATCCTAAACGCAACGGAAACAACTCTCAGCAATCGGTGGTGAATGTAGTGGTAGCGGCTCAGTCCACTGAGTACCCCTCCAACCATCTCCTATAGCAGCAAGAAGAGCAGTTGCAGATGTTCTTAGCCTACCAACGCCAGGAATCGATCATCCAGAAGATCATAAAAGCTGACAAGGATATCTGCATGATCTCCATTGAAGAACCATTTGTCGGCCAAAGCTTGTGAGCTCTTCATTCTTGATGTCACCATTCATTCCTGGTCTCATGCTGAGGAAAACAAGTGACGGACTCTGCAGAAGAACGACATCACTGCTATAAGTCTTGATGGTGGTTCTTGAAATCGCTAAGCTGCTTGATGTCCTAGCGCTGGCAGGTCCAGAATATCCCCATCTATTCTTTCTGCTGCTCAAAGAGATGGTTGTAGGGGTACTCAGCAGACTGAGCTACTGCCACTACATTCACCGTTGATAGCTGAGAGTTTCTTTACATGGCGTATTGGACGAGGGGAGATTTTTTCTATGTTAACACATACACAGAGAAATGGAAGAAGACTAACTAATTACAGATTTTCAAAATCTGATGAAGGTATATGTGCTGATGCTTGAAGTACAGTACAACTACTAGCTGTAGGCAAATTAGGGGATGCATAAACATGAGAAACTCACACACATTGCTACCTGATAACAGCATAAACTCAGTTGATCACACACTCTATTCTAAAGCACGCGATTACCTTGTTTCCAAGGCGTGAACAAATGGAAAAGCATTCTGCAATGTCAACATTTTAAACATCATAAACACCAGCAACCCCTCTCAGAAGCTTACAAAACTCTAACAATATAGGAGCACACTGCCTATATACGGTTACAGGGTAGGGGAAAAGTGTCTTAGATGAATCTACAAATTTACAAATGCATCCATGAGCAGCTTGTTTGCTAATATAGTAAGAGGCGCATAGAGCTTTACCAGAGCCGTAGGATCATAGGAGTGAGCAAATATTAGGAGATATTCTTCAGATTTACTAGTGTCATCCTTTGGGATCATTGTGAGAAACATGATAAACATCTTCATCATATGAGTGACATTAGTATTAGTATTAGTTCGCTCAGTAATGACCTTTTCCAGTTCATGAAGGAGAAAGGCCATCATCTATCAATTATGACCTTTTCCAGTTGTTAAGTCTATATGATATGATGATTGTTGGTCTTTTGTTTTGTAAAGTTGACAATATTACCTCTTCCCAGGGGAAGACAATTGGGTTGGGCCTCTCTATAATTCTAACTTTAAGGTTGCCTCAAGTACTTGATAAACTTGATCAGAATATGAGGTATTTGATTGAATTTGTAATCATGAGAGTTATTTATGTATTTGCTTTTAACTAATCTGATATATATGTTATTGCCGATTTTGCAAAGTGGATTTAACATAACCATCCCTGATGAACTGAAGACTACATGCAGGCATGTTCTATAACTATCGACTTAATACATAACTTAATCGCTTTAAACATGATTTCAAACTTGAGAAATGATTTGATATACCTCTATTTATGAGACGATGGTTTTGAAAGAATTAAGCTAGTGAGTCATTTTCAATCATTTGTGTTTGTCCTAAGGGCAAGTTGTGTTATTCTAGAGGACGAATAAGCGTTATTGATCTTAATGAATCACCTTCAATCAACTTGTGTCAATACATAGAGAGATTTACCTCTTCGGGTTAATTACCCTGATGAAACAAGAATTCTTAAAAGTATGGCTCTCCCGACTTGATTCTCTTGGAAGTGTGGCACCTGATTGACTTGATTCGCCTTAAAGTATGACACCCTATTGATTTATTTTTTCCTTGAGTTGTGTTTACTTATTGATAAGTCCTCTATTTGACATGATTGTTGAGCTATTTGACTCAATTTGTGACTTAAATAGTTTGACAAGACTTTTGAATAAAATGACTTGAAATTGATAAAAAATTTCATCACCGACGATTTTAGTAAGTTTCATGATTTACTCTATCATTGAATTTTAATTGTTTTACAATAAGTTGCATGTATTATTTTAGATGAATTTCTGTCCCAAGGCACTCGGTGAGTACCCAATACTCAGGCATACCAGCAGTGTGTTTGGTGATATGTTAGGTATAGGAGAGGTGCAGATTTCTAAGGATTGCATTGCTTAGGAGGGACTTGCATCAGATAAACTATTGGTGATCCCACATTCTTACTCATGAGACTCCCTACTTTTTTGCTTTATTAAATTTTTGAGTTTCGTCTGGAGTTAGAAATTAATCTTTAAAAGAGGCCTCATAGATAGATGTTGTGTCGTGGTTACTAAATGAGTCATTATTGCTTTCCATATGAGACATACTATTTCGCTAAGTTGATTTATATATCATAACTTTTGCTTTATATTAATATTATTATTTCTTTTAGTAATTTGTCTTAATGATGCATAAATTGGCTAATAACCCTAAGTAATTAGTAGAGAAATCGCGTGACTGTCATATCTATAAGGTGCTTCCAATGTGATTTTTTAGAGCATTGAGCGCTTATTGTGTCAGGGTCAGGTTTGAAGTGTGACAAACTTGATATCATATCTTAGGATTAGGAGTATCCTGAATCTATTTGTCGAGTTGTGTCTAGTGGAGTCATCCTCTTAAATCAGGATCTCATGTACGACTAAAATACTCCAATGACATAAATATATGTTTTTCATTCTCTTGATTCTAGATTCTAAATGCTGAAAATTGGTGGAGTGACCGACTCCAAACTGATACATGAAGGTTGTACTAATTTGATGAACATGCATGCATACTAAGACATGGAAATAACTGAAAGATATGAATCTAAATAGAGTACTATGGAGGAACTATTACCTCACGCGGGAATTGAATAGGTGAAAGAGGTGGGGGTATTACAAAAAAAAAAAAGAAAAAAAATTAAATCTAAACTTTTTACAACTATATTGTAATTTATTTTTTGTATCTATAAAAAAAATTGGAGTGTATGATAAATTTTATAAGAAATTAAGTGAATAAATTTAACCATCGAAGTAATAAATTCAAAAAATTGTTTATAAAAATAAAAAATCTAACCCATTAGACTAAAAGGGTATATCAGAATCATTTGTGTAACTATAGAGGTATGTAAATGTGAATCACTTTTATAACAAAGAATATATCAACTCTAAATCGCCCCATAGTTGAGGAGTATATCAGAACCTTTTAAGGCAGGATTTTTTTGAGCTTTCATCTCTCTATATAATAAGACAATGAAAGCAAATAGACACCATTTAGCTGGACCACCACGAGAAGAAAAATTAAAGGAGATAAAAGAGATTTCTATGAACGTTTCTTGAATTCATGTAGCTTTGTATGCCTCTTAGCGTACATTAATAGCTGGCATTTCGCATTAATAGTTTATACCAAGTACACATGAAACTTTTAATGTTGCCCCAGTTGCCTTGCTTGCCCTCAGTTCACTAATTGGCATTTACGCTTCATTTGCTGCCTGCAAAGCTTGTCAGACCTTCCATGCCCTCCCCATTCCTGTAGTTGTAGACAAGAAATTACCGCTTGAAGATGCATTAACAAAGCTTTAAGAATCCTAACTACTCCAAAGAAATTGAAGAATTAGAATGTCTATAGCAAATTGTACCCAACGTAATTAGTCGATAGACTCAATAGAGAACATGGCTATGGTTTATGCAAGCATTGAACATGTGATGAACTTGTTTGCTTAAGCAATGAATTTGGGACTAATTTCTTTTGACACTCCAAATAATGTGTTCCACTTCACAAAATTACTACCAAATCTCTGACGTTACGAGGAAATTGTGAATTTGAGCTGTTCTTTTGGTCCTTGCTGCCGTGACTACAGCAGAGAACGGGCAGAAGACATTGGAATTGTAGGGCTCGGTGGAGAGAGCAGTATTTTGATAACTATTCTCTTCATCCATGTACCCTTGATTTTCTGAAGTTACTACAGCCAAACACCATGAAGAAACATACAATATGAGGTTCCATACCTCCTTCACAGTCCAACATTCGCTCATAATTATTTATGCTCTAGTCGCTAATGTTTGGGAGAAAGATTAGTAACTTGTTTGCCTCCATGGAACAAAGAAAATAGCAGGTTATATTAGGCATTATATATTTATGGTTGGAAAAAATAGTGTCACCAGTGGGTCAGTTCAATGCATATGATTTTTTATCACCAGTCCATCATTCAATGCCTGTGAGCAGCACAATTTGTTATATGACATGTCATCTTTTCGAACTTTGTGCATTTATACACTGAGCTTTGATACGATATTGCAGGAAACGAACACAAACTTGATCATTACTGACTACTGCATATCAAGGATGACCGGATACGATCTACTCAAAAGGGTGAAGGTATTAAGTGGACCTTAGGGATGCTCTCCCCCCCCCCCCCCCCCCCTCCCCCCCAAAGTTTCTTTGCCTCCATTTGAACCATTTCTAAATGGCAGGGATCCTCTAATTTGAGAGAGATACCTGTGGTTATCGTATCATCCGAGAACGTCTTACCTGAATCAAGAAGTAATTACTCAAGCAGCAACCTTTTGTAATATAACCAGACATATTATGCCATGTTTTATCTTCTGACTTTGTTTACCAATATAGGTGCTTGGAAGAAGGTGCTAAAGAATTTATGCTAGAGCTTATCAAACAATCAGATGTTAAGAAATTGAGATGTCATATGACCAAAGTAACCAAACCATGCAGTGGACGGCTATGCCCGGGAGGTAAAACAACAGAGCACAGTGACAGGAATATAAGCGAAAAACTAGAGAAAACATAGGTGCAGAAATTGATTATGGCACTATTGATTATTGAATAACGATTCAAGGGAAAGTGATCATTGACAACATTATACTTCTTTTATCTATTTTGTTAGCTATTTTTTAGTCAATCCCATCACTCCGTCTTAATTTCTAATGTTTTCTGTTAAAAGCATGGTCTCTCTAGTCTCTCCCCTAAAAAATATATGTTACACATGCATCAAAACTGGACATAAATCTGGTTCTACAAGTTCAATAGTCATGGAAGTCATGCATCACTAGAACACAAGATAACTTGCATGTGTCCAAACCATAGCGAAAAACACATGAAGATCAAATGCTAAAAAAGCCAAACTATAGAATTAGAATGTTCATGTTTGCATTTATCTATTAAAACTTGATAAGAGTATCATACCATTGTCCAAGTTCTTTAATCCTGTGCTTCCTTCAAAAACTGCACATGTAAAAATTGAAGGACACGGCCTCAAGCATCATCACTTGCCCATTTTGGTGAACGTTGTGACTTTGTCGTGTAGTTATCATTCCTTCTTTTGATGAAGACCTGCTGTCATCTTTTGTAACTAGCAAAGCACAAAAACACTTCTTATAATTATAAACGAAGGACTAATTTAAAAATTAGGATCACAAAGGAGGAAAACCTTCGACCTTCATCTCCTGCTTGGTATCTAAGTGAAGATTGGGTATCCTGATTTTTATCTAAACTGTCCTGATCCCCCTTTGATACAGTGGACATCTCTACAGAGGAAGATGCTTCTTCTGCACATTCAGAATAGTTAAACGATCCTGTCCTGTCCTTCACTTCTGGAGTTTTTTCTTTTGGTTCATCACAGTTACTACACTCATTGACAGAACTTGATCCATCCATAGACTTTTCCTTTCCTGATGAGAAACTCTTGCACCTACCAGAAACTTCAGTATTGGGGTCAAATTGGCTGCTATCAAATGGTAGGATATCAGCACCTTTATCTCCATCGCTTCCAACATCTCTTACAATGTTTCCTGTTACTGTGCCATGGGAACCGAGAGTATGTAATGAATTCTCAGCACCACATCCCTTCTTGGCATCCTGAAACAAGTTCCTGAAGGTGCATGCGGGGCTATCTGGTTCAAAAGTTATTGGTTCCATCATAAAACATGAGGGTGCATATTCACCAGGATATTCGATAGACCCTTCGAGGTTGTGTAGGGAGTCAACTTGTAACTTAGGCTCCTGATCAGTAAGGACATCTCCAACCAAGAAGTCGGAACAAGTGGATACATATCTTTTGGACACTGAAGTTTCGTAGAAAGATCTGAATCTAGAATTCGACTCTCCTGGACCACATCTTGTCTCCCTCAGTCCATCATTGTTCATGTCTGACCTCTTCTCATAAAATGCAGAATTGTAATTTTCTGGTTTTGCTCTTGATTGGTTTGGTAGCCATGGTAACTTTGTTGGCTTTCCTTGTTGAATATCATTCCTCTTGCAGTTTCTTTCATTAGCAAATAACTTCTCACAGAATTTTGTCTCTTTCCTCCCATCAGATACCTCCTGGCTTCTCCTTTTATTATTTGAGTTCATCTTTTGTTGTGTGTCTAAGTCACCCACCACTGGATGGAGAAAAAGAAAAATGATTATATTGCTCAAGTCAACAAGTCAGTGAGTACAAATGACATTGACCTGCAGTGGATGATTCTTCGCTGAAGAGAAGTCAACATATCCCCAAGAATAAACTGGATTAGTTCATTAGAAAATGAAAAGGCCCAGTAGAGAGACCAGTAAACAGAAAGAGCTTCAAATAGCAACCTCAATAAACTCAAATTATCTCTTGCATTTTCATTTGCAAACCATGTCCTATCAACATGGTCTATATAATCCATTAAATGAGGACTTGTACATCCCATGGAACACCTGCCAATAAGAAATAGAAGAGTTAAAACCAACTAAAGAATCCCCCTCACATCTACTGCAAAATGTGCCTACCATTCTCCATCCGAGACACTGAAATTCTCTGGTTTGAAGTGCTTGGAATAGGAAGTAGGTGCATCTGTTAAAGAGAGAATAACACGTCAAAACCACAGAAAATGCAACTTATTGGCCCAAACTATGATCTCAATAATACCAGGAAACTAGTCAATAGCACTCCATTTTAGCTCCCCATATTGAACAGTTCATATTTTTTGAACTTGGAGAATAAATGACTTTTGATAGAACCATGAGAAGCAAAACAGGTAAAAGAATATGTACATCTTTTAAAAGAGCATCTCTTATTAGCAGAAATGTAAAGCACCTATTATGTTGAATTCTGATTTGGCTTTCATCCCGACACTGCAAGGACAAGACACCCTTAGTATAGAACATGAACACCATCAAATTAAATATTGAAGTACTACATGGGAAACCTTTGCTTCTGATGATAAGAGTCATCAAAATAAGTGTCTTGCTTCCCATAATTTCTGGCACTACAAGAATTGGCAAAATCCCGATAATAACAGTCCTCAAAGTTGAATTCTCGCATCCCACAACTTTGGTTGTTCCAAAAATCAGTGGAAACAGCATCTAAATGAGATGAACAACAATCTTCATGAAAGCTTTCAGGAAGTGGGAAGCTGGAATTAGCTGAATGTGAAGCATAAAACACGATGTAGTCATGTCACTTGTAAAATGAAGCAAAACCTTAGAAGATGTGGAAGTGCCAAAAGGTTTGAAATTTCTATGCAACTTCAAAAGCACTTCTCCAATTTTAAGCTCTGTACCACAGGGATTAATTCCTCTTAGGAGAAACATGTTATTAGTATTGGCGAACAATGTCGAAAATTCAAGCTTAATAAAGATATATGTATGGGAACTTTAAATGTGTTAACTAGCTGTGATGCTATTAATGTGGCATTTGTCTAAGTTTGCAGACATTTGGAACTTTTTTCTTGTATGCAAAGCAGTTCAAATAAATACATGTTCCTAAAAGTTAAAAATTGATTTTGCAAACTCTAAAACAAACGGTTCCAAAGGAATTACAAAGTTGAATTATACTTTTTTTCCAGGAAAATGAACAGAGATTTACCCAAATAAAAATGATACTCAAGAAACCAATACCACTTTGGAGATGTCAATGTAGAAGCCAGAAAAGATATGGAAAAAACATATTAAGGACCCTACCATTCAAAATTGTATGTGAACTTCCCTTGTTTTTGCCGAAGATTTCATCATTCTCAAAAGTGTACAGACAAGTGAAATTGTTATTAGAGGAGAACCATTTGGTATCTAGTAACTTATGTTCTGCACTGCCAGGTGAATCTTGTACTCCCCTGGAGCAAGAGGATCCGTCGAAAGGACTTGTATGAAAAGGTAGTTCTACATCCACCATCATGCTATCCTGTAGTTTGTCAATATAACCAGAAACAAAGATATCAGGAATTCGACCTCCATATAACCAATGAGGGCTGAGTCGATAACGGAAGGACATCTGCATTGCAATAATCCTTCCACAAAGAACCAACTGCTTTTTGTTTTTCATTTTTCATTTTCAGACGGTGAGGGGCTTATTAACAAAAGTATGCACATATGGAGTGTGTATATATATATATATATATATATATATAAAGCACGCATATATTGAAAAACAATTGAATGGAATAGAACTTAGGTATCTCATCACTTTTCGAGATCAAGAGCATAAAATGCTGTTCAACATCAACTGAACCAATAAACACAGAATCTGTAGATTTCAGATTCAGATGCCGACCATATAAGAAGCTATGAATGCTGAAACTAAACATCTAGTTGACGGAAGCCTGGAACTTGGTTTTAACACCTATTGCCAAAGCCTTTTCCCGTTTGATATCATAAGATATAGTAGATGAAGGATGTGGTACGGAATAATTTTTTTATAGAACCTTGGAAAGTATTTCCTAAATCATTTTATGCCGTGTGATAGGGTAAAAATATATGTGACATATGGTAGTGATAGGAAGTGGAGATAGGGCATAGGTGTGGTGTTTCAAAACAGGTTGACATGAGGTTTACGTTGAAGAACGACATCTGGTGTAAGTTTATATATGTTAGAGTGGGTAAAAGTCCCACATTGGTTGGGCAATGGACTGGTGGTCTCCTTATATGTACTTGGGCAATCCTCCCCTCTTGAGCTAGCTTTTGGGGTTGAGTTAGGCTCATGTGTAATATCTTTACATGGTATCAGAGCCAGGTCTATCCTCGTATGGGCTCCCGGTCCACAAGCCAGTTGGGCCTGGCGTGAAGAGGGGTGTTAAGAGTGGGTAAAAGACCCACATTGGTTGGGGAATGGACTGGTGGTCTCTTTATATGGACTTGGGCAATCCTCCCCTCTTGAGCTAGCTTTTGGGGTTGAATTAGGCTCAGGGGCCATATCTTTACAATATAATTGTAGCCGAAAAGGGCATATCCTCACAAAAGTCAATTTCCTTCTTTTGGTGAAAAGAATTTAGACAACTGAACACAAAAAATGGGTTTCATCAAGAAAAAACTTATGCCATGCTAAACACCCTACACAAGAAGTGAAACAAAAAAGAAATTGACAACAGTAAGTTACAAATTATAGGAAATGAAGTAAAAGCGCAAAGATTTCTAGAGGTAATGGTCCACTATCCCACGGAAAGGAGACACTAATAAAGATAGGAGTTCAAGTCATTCGAAGGAAGCGCTAGTAGTAAACATGCAGCAAGCTAGCAACCCCAAACAGAATTATAAAAGCATCAGGAAGTGCTCTCACCAATTCAAGTTCAATTCCATCTATTCCCTTGTTAAGGTAGTCAGATGAGAGAGCTTTTCTCCTTGCCCTTGGGGGTGAGGGCCTTCCATATGCCAAGGGTCTGCTATCATACAACATAAAAAACAGCATTTAGAAGGAGCAATTTCAAAGATTTCCATGCAACTTAATTCTCAAAAAAAGATTTCCATGCAACTTTGTGAGGTTGTACCGACAAAGCATAAAAGAAGTGTCCCCTTAAATCAGCCTACTGCAACATGAAGAACTAAAACCCTTAAGCATGCCAATTTGATTAGGTCCTATGTAAAATTAATCATTTAGGAAGTTGGTGTATCCAAACCTGAGAAGCAATCAGGTGTATAGTTCTCCAAAAAACTGATCTAGTATTCCAAAATGTAAGATAAGCATGAACCATGCGTGAATTGATCGAAAGGATATCCACAGCTTGGTTATATTATACATAATATTAAGAACATTAAACATCCCAGAGAGGGACTCAGAGTCTCAGATCATTTTCCAGTGGCTAGAGTACTGAGCTAAGCTGTTTTGAGAAAATTGTGGTATCCAAACACCCTTGCTTATCAAGAACTGATGTCAGCTAAGTAAGTGAACGGTATCATGGAATCTGGTGGTTATAGAGTGCCTGCATTACTTTTTTGCTTATCTGGAAATAGCTAAGAGCTTCTACTGGAATTTGGAATTCCTTCTTTCTAGAAGTAGCATTATTGTAAAATATATCCATGACATTAATGTCTCGTCCTCTGTTTATGAAGCTCTATATCAGTGGCGAAGAGGACCTAGTTAAAAATCCACTTTATCGTCTAAATGGTCATGTTAACAGCCAGATGATCTCCTCAAAACCTGGGAAAGTAATGCAAGTCGTCTAAATGTGCAAATGATGTTTTCAGTCGACAGAACTGATGAATGCAGCTATCATAGTCAATTTAAATTTAAAACCTATTTATAGTCTTGGCTTCCAAGGGTAGTCCTAACCACTACTTATCATAGAAATCTTGTCAAGATGGAATTTGCAAAATTATTATTCATGGTCTATTATTCTTGATTAATAAAGTAAATATACCTGCCAGGTAGCTGCGGTGAATGAATTGGGGTAGACATTTCAACTTTACCTAAACCTAGTAAGGCAAAAATGTATCTGATCAAATGTTCATTCTAAAAGATCTGAAAGCCACACAAATATAGACAGTTCTTCCCTCCTTTTCCCTGCAAACTGGAAATGATGCCAAAAAGAGCATAAAGTAGAAAGGAAAATGAAGAAATAATCATCATATTGTCACATATATATATATTTTTTTTGATAACCGAGAAATCCGTTTGTGACCCGCCCTTTAGACCAATCACAGTCTTCTAAACTCGGTGGATAATAGGCCCGCCCCTCTACTCTTCCCACTTAAATATCAGGCTTCGCTTTGCGTGGTGTAAGGCTTGAACCTGCGACCTAAGCCACAAATCCTCCACCTTTTGTCAGTCGAGCTAGGCCTTGGGGGCCATATTGTCATATATATATATAGTAGAGGAGCCAGGATTTTCAATAAGGGGGTTCAAAATATGAAGTAAATACTCTAATAAGTCGAAAAAGTAACTCTTATTAATTGCTAATTATAAATAATCACAGTAGAAAATGTGGTTAATTTAAATAGTTGCGATCTTTCCTTCTCCCAAAACGGTTCCTCAATTATTAGTTGTCTTCCATCTTTGCCCTTTCATCTTCTCATCATATAGCCCTATTGATATCTTTTCTCTAACTTATATAATATGCATGTGTTTAGATCATTTCAATATTCATTTTAGTGATTTTAATTTGAGAAGTTTTCACAAATCTCTATAGTATATGGCTATATATTATTACCGGAGATAGTTTTAAATGTTTATTTTTTCGTTCACTTTCTTTTCTGCTTAAATTTAAAAGAGCATAAAGCTCTTCTCCCATGTTGTTTTAAGCATCTGCTTTTCTGCTTTTTGCTTAGCTTCTTGTTTTTTTGCTTATCATAATCATGTGGTTTAATAACTTTAATTGATGTTTAAGAGTTTAATCTCTCACATGCTAAAACTTTGTTTCAACAACTTATGAGAGAATTTTCTTATTTCAGGGAAAAAAATTGACGTAATGGTTTTGTAGATAATTGAATAGAACTTTGGTAGAAATTGTGCCAATACAAATGTGGTAGGCACATATCTTTCTAACATGATTTTTTTCCCTTTGGCACAATTGCTTGCAATTTTTTGCTAGATAATTTTCTATAAATTTGTTGTGTAATCGGTAAATTTCTATTATAATAATGATACGGGACAAACATGCAACACACGTTCTCAAAGACTAATGCTAAAAGAATAGTTATATGATATCCCATCCATTTTAAATTGTTTGTCTTACTTTCCTTTTTAGTCCATTTAAAAAAGAATGTCGCTTTTCTTTTTTAGGCAACTTTTTAATTCCAACTTTCCACATAGCATATTTAACCACAAGAACAAAGTTTTTACTTTCTTCAACTCTATGTCAAGTCAAAACCAGACAAACAAATTGAAACAGAAGGAGTATTTGAAAAGATTTCTATAAAGAGCATTAAGTAGAAAAGAAAATGAAAGAAGTTAATTGAGCATTTCTACTCATTTGTAGGATTTTTTTTTTTCATAATTGTTGTTTCTGGACCATCCTGCTCGAGTTCTACGAAATACCTGTCACCTCCCACCACCAACAGGTACCGAGTAATTCTATCCACCAAAGCTAAGACATATGGAAAGAAATCACCTAGTGTTTTTTTTGTCTCTGCTAGGATTTGAACCCGAAACTTTATGGTTCTCAATCCACTTCATTGACCACTAGGTCACACCCTTGGTGTAAAATTGTTAGTCTTTCAAAAAACATAAATGTAATTGCTTCATGGTCAACCATCGAATCTACCTTCAATCGAAAATGCAACATGGCCTTCATGAGTTGAACTTTCCAACTCATAGTTCGGTCCATCATCACCAAGTATGTCAATGATAGAGAGTTCTGCAAAATTGAGATTTTAGTATATATGGTAATAATTATTCTAGATCTGACAGTTCAAACCAGAGAATATTCTTGGGAAGTGCTTTTTCTAAAGTAGGGCCATTAAATTTACAGTTGAATAAACATTTGTCAGCTATGGACAAAAGGATATCTTGATGTAATACCATGAATTGTACTTTCAACTACAATAATAAGTTGAAATTCAAAAGTGTCTCCAATCAGAATGTTAATCCTGTTGCTAAAGATACTTTCACAAGCCATTTCAATTTTGTTTTGACAGGTAAGTATTACACAAGCTTACAGGCAAACACTTCTATTCAGTATTCATGATATACTCACGTTTGCTTGTAGAGTTCGCCAATGGGTTTACTTTATCATTGGTGCTGTACAAACCTCTCTCATGACCTCCAGGTGCTCCAACCGATGTACTGAGAAACATCAACTTTTAATTGAACTTTTTTCAGGAAAAAAAAATATTTCATCGACATCACGACCAAACATGTAGAATACTAAGAATGCAGTTCACGGTGATCCTGGACCTTCTAATAATTACTAGCATCCAAATCAGGCATGTACTTAAAGTTTCTCCATCTACACTTGTGAGCATCTTTTTATTATAGAAAAAATATACTCAAGCAAGCTTCCTTAAGGATTTTTTTGATATATATACTTATGCAATTCAACAAGATAAATCTACAAAAAAAAAATTATGTTTATACAATTCGATATGGATAATCCACTCAACATAAACATGCTTACTGATTTGGGCAGGCTGCATAATCTTGGGAGCTTGGTGACGTTCCTATTAGGACAATGAATCACATACTTAATACGCCCAAATGACAAGAAAGTACAATTACACTCCTCAGAAAACCAGCTTTTGTCAGAACGCAAGTGTACTACCTTCCTTATGTTGAAGAGAGCCAAGATAAATGACTTCTTTTGTTTGAATCACTGGAGAAGGCTGTAGCATTTGATTGTCCTCATAAATATGCCTTGCTAACATAGTAATGAAAAAGAAAATTAGGCCACAAAAGGGAGATCGGGAATCACTTAGCTATTGAAGGGAATAGGTTCACTCATCAAATAAGAAAATCGACAAAGTGCAATTTTAACACGGTCACATTGTATAATGAAACTTTGTGTCAATTCCATATTGAAATTTATAATTGATAAACAATGTATATTAGGTTGTCATATCATTGAAGACTTGGAAATGACAGTAAAGAAATTTGTCAATGAAGAATCCTAACAGCACCTGATAGGAAATCATTGCACTGGGACATAAGTGCTAATGAAGCTGCATAATGTTTGCAACTGCAGTTCAAAAGTTCTCTTGAGATCTAAAGAAAGTGAAAATGCACATCATTCATTTTGGTTTTCACAAATTTCAAGGATTTTACTTCCTAAGGCTGAGCAGGTTGAGATACAAACTTATTTGACAAGTAAGATCTCTGACATAATATGTCTGTATTGTTCCAATTTTATCAGATGTCAACAGCAACAACATACCTAGAGAAATCCCAAAAGTGGGGTAGGGGAGGGTAGAGCTTACGCTGACCTTATCACTACCTCGTGGATGTAGAGAGGCTGTTTCCAAAACACCCTCGGCTCAAGTACAGCAAATCCAAGTACAAGAAAGAAGAAAATAGTAGAAAAAACATAGCAACTAACAAAGGGGCAGTGCAAATCCTACACGAAAGGACCAAGAACAACAAAATAGTGTGATAATCGAAACACAATAAACAATAGATGATGATAGATATCCCAATCAAGAACTACAATAAACAGCTAGTACAACGACAAAAACACCAAGCAGCCTAAACTCTCGGAAAGCAAGACAACACTCCACTACCTACTAACCTTCTACACTAATGCGTGTCCTCCACACCTTCTTATCTATGATCCTCGATAACCTGAAATTAGATCATGTCCTGTCTAATCACCTATCCCCAATACTTCTTAGGTCTACCTACCTCTCTTCATACCTACTATAACCAATCCACTATATTACCATTAACTAAAATATGTTGACGGTTAACTAATTGACGGGCTGCGGGAAAAGCACCATTATGTCCTTCCAAAAAACCTTTTAAGTAGTGTTTTTTCTTTGCGGGGTGGGGTGGGCAAAATGAGATACTTAATAAGTATGACAGGAAACAGTCCTACATGCCATTGATATATTCACCAACTGGATATACATTTTTTCATTCATTAATAATAGCACATTATTTCTGTAAAGGACTATACAATTGTACTTATCGCAGACCAATTTTGCACCATTATGCAACTTAAGAGACAATTAATAAGAGTAGGGTGGACATATACTTGATCTTAGCCAAAAATCCAAGAAAAGTATACGTTATGGTGTATGTGTGTGTATATATATCTTTTCAAATTTCACATAATTAGGATTCATCACCTTGATTGTACGGAGTTACAATATGAAAACAAACAAATCTTTTGAACATCACTTCACCAGTAACCTAATGATGGGATTGTGTGATTATAATATCTGTGAGATAGGCCATACTAAGAAACGTGAACAAGCACCAAATGCTATTGTCGATTGCCCCAAAGAGCAAATAATTATAAATGCTTAAAATTTTGGAGATTTCAAAAATTGAAGTCAAAGTACCTGAGTGGACATTTGACTTGTGTTCCCCAGAACCTGTTGATACGTTTAGTAAACTCAGAATATCAAGTGAACGACTATTCTTTTCTTGCTGATTACATGGGCTTTTCTCATCAAAGAAGCTCTCTCTTGCATTTTTTTTCTGCTGCTCTTGCCATTTTCTTTGCTCAAAGTATTGCTTTTGCCTGTAAGATCGACAAACTACACTTGGACATGCAATATCATATCCCAAATTCTCCATATAGAATGATTTGGGATTCCAAATCATGATTTCGAAAAAAATTTAAATGTAAAACTTGACCCATAAGTTTTCTTTAAAAAAATAGGAAACTTTTTGACCCATAAATTTATATTTTGTAAAAAAAAAATACTCATCATTTTAAATATGGAAAAGACTCATGCCTGGTGCCATGTGAAAGGATTATATCAAAGAATAACTAGTTACTAGTTGACTAGTGAATCTTCATGAAATTAGGTGTTCTTGGAAGTTTATAATCGCAAATATTGTTTATAAAAGGAACATGGAGATATGTGATTTATCAATGCAGTGCCTTTGGATATTCTGATATCTTATTTACTCATTTGGTAAAATTGTATAAGAATTGCGGAAAGTTTGATAGTTTTCATAACTTGTGAGGTTTTTCATGTTTATGAGAAAAAAATACAACTTAAAAAATCCAAATTACATGTCCAAACAAAACTTCAACTTCAAATCAATCTGATTTCAAATCATGCTTTCATATCACATATACAAATGAACCCTTAATCTTATTTTTTTATTTTAAATTGGGGTTGGGAAAGGGGAAATGGGAGAGGGGATTACAATATGGGGAATTGAATCCTCACCAACAAGGTGAGAGTTCAAATAGCCAACCAACTAAGTTACTAAGATTCCCTTAGTCTAAATCTCTACATATTGGAAGTTAAGACAACAGTATCAAAGAATGATGACCTATGTTCAGGTTGAGTAAAGCTACAACAATTATCCAATCAAATAAAGACTGATGGGTGATATTTTAATACCTTTTCTGTGTTGACCTTCTTGACTGATGTTTTTCCATCCCGCAAAAGGATAATACAAATCACAAGAGAAAATGTCAGTATGAAAACATTTCCCAAAGCACAATAAGATTAAATCTTTAAAAACAATGGGAACAAATTAAACTTTCACAAGAACAAGTTGATAGCCTTCAACAGAAGATGAATGTTCTATTTCTTATTGCCTTTTTTATATTTAATTTTGGGAGGTGGAGTAAGCTGAATGTTATCACAACAAACCTGCAAACTGGTTTGTACAAAATTAAACTCGCATAAAGAAGTTTGGGAGGTTAGCTTTTTTCGAAAAAAGATTTAGGCAAGGACTACATGGATTAAGAATATTTTCATTTCCTCTAGGAATATGCTTGAGCTCCTAATCTCTAAAGGGTGATCTTCATCTTTTAATATACTTTTATGTAACTCCTCATTTGAACAGTATTAACCACAATATACATTAAAATCCATTACGATCTCAAGACTCAAAAGACATGCATTACATTTGGACTGTATTAACCACAACTTTACATTAAAATCCATTACCATCATGAGAGACATGCATTACTAGAGATCAACTAACAAACCACACTAATGAGTTGTAGCTCTACCTAATTTCAAATTTGCTCAATTGTGCTTCCAAGGCATCCCTTGAAAGAAAAAAATTATCCTCCAAATTCAGAAATATGCAAGTAAATCTCCAGAATAATAAGTAATTTCCTTTGACACTTACAGTATCAACTTTCCTCCTTGACCCACCCATCCATTGTAACATCGTGGAAGAAATCTTCCTTGAAACATCCACTAAATGGGGAAGAGATAATTATATAAGGACCAGAGGAAAAGAAAGGGAGCAACACAACAACACTACGATATAGATTATAGCCATTCAATCAGGCTAATCAGCAGCTACAACACAACAACACTACAAGCCTTGTATGCTTCCTAAATTATCAAGTTCCTAACAACAGTAACAACACAACAAGGCTACAAGTTGCACCACAAGCTGCTCAACACAAATATCATATCAAAATAACTAAATAAAACAGCAGCACTACAAGCTGCACCACTGTAGCATCACAATTTGTATATTAAGCACCATGTCACACAACTTGAAAATTTTCTAGCACAAACAGAAAATTAAGTCCAAACATAGTACTGATAGTTATACTCAAGTCAACAAAATAATAACTACTTAATCAAGTAAATGATTTCCCACACAAAAAAAAGGGGAAAGCCAAACTATATGCCAATTCAACTGTAGTTTTCTCATAAATGAAATCAAAACGTTACAGTGAAATTGTGAAATTAAAAGTGTAATTTAGACTTACCAGTAGCAGAGAATGAGAAATCGTGAGCACCTGAGCAGAGTTCTGATTCTGAGAGAGAAATCGTGAGCTTCTGAGAGTGAAATCGAGGCAGTGAGCGACTAAGCGGACTACGGAGCTTCTGAGAAGAGAGTAAAATGTGAGCAGTGGCCAGTGAGTGCAGTGCTGAGCCTTCTAAGTTCTAGGAACTAAACCAAAAGCCCCAAACAAAGTAACTATGTTGAAAATTTCAACTTGAAATTCAGAAATTTCAAACCATAAAAATAATTGAGCCCAGTAACAAATGAGGAAATCGTCAACTTAGGTTGAAATTCACGAGAGTTTTCTCATAAAGCAAACCCAAACGTCGCAGTGAAATCGTGAAATTAAGAATTTGAGACTTACTTCTGAGCTCCTGAGCGGAGTTCTGACAGTGAAATGGTGAGCTTCTGAGTCCCGAGAGCCGGTGAGAGAACTCGAGTGAACAAAATTTGAGAGTATCAGTGAAACCTGAGAGTTAATCTCGTCCTGGTCGTCGTCGTCGTCGTCGTGCGTGAGTGAATTGTGGAATCGATGAGAAACGCGGGAGAGGGGAAACTTGAGAACTTTAAAAGTTTTGTAATTTTTCCTTTTCCAAACCGGTTTGCTTTTCCGGATACTGACCCGTTCGTTCCACTAATGAGTTGGAGAAATTGACATTTCTCCCATGAAAAATAGTTTGACATTAATGGGGTAAATGGGCGGGTTGGGTTAATTTTGGATTGGTTGAAAATATGTCAATATAAAATGAGTAATAATTTAATCCATTCATATTTGTTATGGATAAAAATGGATTGGGTAACAAATGAGTTGGGTAAAATACAAATTTACTTATATTTATACTCTACTCAAGAATTCAACCTGGAGAAAATATTTTAGTATTTCTTTGATTGAAAAATATTGAAAATAGTTTATTTAGTTTAATTGTATCATAAAAGTCAGTTTTTCTTTTTTATAATTTTTCAATATAAAATAAATTTATGTAATAACAATGGAAAAAAAAAATTAATTTCAAAGTAAATGAATATTTGCATTTTTGGACTAAAACATGCTTAATGCACTTTAAGCAATATCAATACTAATATATGATTTGCTTATTTTACACTATTATTTGTTATCCAATATAAAATTAAGCAAATAAAAAATATAATTATAATTAACAAAAGAAATGTACATTTAAAATATATATTTTTGGAGGGCCAAAGACTTTACATTATCAATTATGGAGAAGAATAATTAATTTTATAGAAGAAAATAAAAAGGAAGAGAAGTCACAACATTTTCAGTGATATCATGAATTTTGAGTGAATAAAAGTTGGAAGTTTAACTCATTTGGTTATTCCATATTTTACCCATAGTTTACCAATAGTTTACTCATATTTTACACATATTTTTATGGATTGAATATGGGTATCAACTCATATTTTACCCATACAAAAAATCATTCACCCAACCCATTAAAATATGGATGGATTCGACGGGTTACCAAAATATGACCTCATTTTACCAACACTATTTGACATCAACAAAGAAAATGTCGAGAATTGTGTGATATGACAAACATACCCTTAATTTTTTAAGAGCAACAATCTATATCAATTATCATATATGGCTAAAGGTGGCAGAATGGGTAATTTATATGGGTATCCACTCATATTTACCCATTTTAAATGGGTTGGGTACCCAACCCATTTAAAAATGAGTAAAAATGAATAATACTCATATTTAACCATTTAAAGTGGGTAGTTAAATGGATAATATGGGTAAAAAATGTTCATTCATAAAAGAAAGAAAAGTGATTAGGGGTGAGTGGTAAAAAAAACCTTTTTTAAAATATTACTACTTTTTACATTTTTTTTTGGGATAGGGGGAGGGGGGCTGGTAGGGGGTTTTTTAAAAATGAATTATTTTTTTTTTACATTTTTTTTGGGATGGGGGGGGGTTAGAAGGTGGGTGGTAAAAAAATACTTTTTACATTTAAAAAAAAAATGGGTGTGGGACGTGGGTAGGGGGTGGGATGGTAAAAAAAAATTATTTTATAAAAAAAATTTATAAAAAGGGAGGCAGCGGGGGGGGGGGGGGGGGGGTAGGGGGATTGAGTGAAAAAAGAACTTTTTTAAAAAATAATTTTTTTTCATAAAATAACAAACTATTTTATTTTATTTACATTTTTTGGATAGGGGAGTAGGGGGTGGTAGGGAGGGTGGAGTGATGAAAAAATTTAAAAAGATTTTGTTTTTTATGATTTTAACTAGATCTATACTATAAAATGAGTACTCATATTTATCCATATTATCCATTGGGTAACTCATTTTTACCCATTTAAAATGTGAGTCGAGTCGAGTGCTTATCCATTTTTATTTAACTTGTTTTCGATCGATTCATATTCGACTCGACTCGCTCATTTGGCACTCCTATATATGGCATATCATATTTTATTAAAAATAAAAAATTTAAAGTTAAAAAAATTGTGTGTCATATTTCAACCCAAAAATGTTTAGCCTATCATTTGGGCACAATAATATTTAAAATTTTAAAAAAAGGATACATCAATTAAAATATTAATGTACCTTATGAGAGTAGTCATAACTACTTGAACAAACTTTAGTTTTACTTCAAAAAAAAAAATTACAAAGAAGTAAGAGAGTACTACTAGAGTGAGAGGAGTTCTAAAACCTGTCTACTTTTAATAAAATTAATTCTTATATAGAGGATTTTACAATCTAAGGAGAAAATAGCAGCTACTAATAGGTGGCGAACAAACAGATAATAATGACCAATAAAGTTTATACATTAATTATTTTATATATATATATTTATTTTTATTTTTTATAAAAGAATCTTTATTTATTAAAAAAAGTAGTTTGTCCTTATTTTCCCCATAGTTCATAAATTGAGGTCTTGCTTAAATTTTCTTTTTTCCCTTGGAGGCTTTGTCGTTGAAAGATTCTTCGACCTAACACTTTTTTTTAACTCACATTATATTCCTTCCCCAAAGAAATCACAAAAGAGATTTAGTTTGAATCAGGTCCCAACCGTTTTAGTTCTCCCTGTATTTCATGTATTTATGACATTAACAAACATTGTAACTATGAAGGACATGTGCAAACCTGTATCTCTTGGTTTGCGAAGAACCAAGTTCTCCGTGATGCTTAATGGTGATATCTCACTGATTATTGTATGAGAAAGTAAGGGTAATATCATTAGACCTTGATTCAGTCCACTCAAGAGTTGTGGACCTTGATTCAGTTCACTCAAGAGTTGTGGGTGTGTACTTGTTACAGTACAGAGCTCACTCAATATTTTATCCACCATCCAATTTATGCAAACAAATGGACTCAGTATTCTAGCCAAAAGAAAGAATTTCATTAAGAAAGCTAGTTGACAAGCTCAAGTTCAAGTTGATTGTTTTGGAACTACTCTCTCCCAGACCATTAGTGAAGATGTCAGCTACTTGTTCTTTCGTTTGGAAAGATTTCATGACTATAGGACTTTTTCGATATTATCTCTGAGAAAATGGTAATGCATATCAATGTTCTTGGTCCTTTTATGATGTACATGTTCTATGCCATGTTGACTGCACTTGTGTTGTCACAAATGATTAGTATATATTATAGAACTACTCCAAAGTTGAGGAGTTGTTGCTTGATCTATAAAATTTGTGCAAAACAAGATGTGGCTTCTATATATTCTGATTCAGCAATAGACAGGGCTACAAGTTCTATTTTATAGTTGTCCATGATATGAGACACAATTTAAGAAAATGAGGTATACCTGAGGTACTTTTTCTATCAATGAGATATCCTGCATAGTCAGCATCAACAAAATCTACTAGATAGAATGAATCCGTAAAAGAATACCAGAGAACCAACTCTGAGCTCTTTTGAGGTATCTAAGATTCTTTTGATCACTTTCATATGGGACTTTTTGGGACAAGATTGAAATCTAGCACGTAGTCCTACACTATATACTATATCAGGTCTGGTGGCAATGAGATATAGTGAGTACCCAATCATTCCTCTATATTTTGTATCACCCACGGGTGATCTAGTTCATATTTTTTCCAATTTGGTAGTCGTAGCAATTCAAGTATCACTCACCTTAGCACTTTCCGTATCAAACCTTTTAAGTAGCTCCTTGATGCACTTTTGTTTATGAATGGACAATCCTAGGGAAAACTGTTTGATTTGTAGTCTAAGAAAGAAGTTGAGCACCCATCATGCTCTTTTTGAATTCGCTACTCATCAATCTTGCAAAGTCTACACATAGTTTGTCATTTGTTCCTCAAAGATAATATCATCAACATATACTTGTACTATTAGTAGGTCATATTCTTGCTTCCGCATAAATAAGGTGTTGTCAAATTACTAGAAAAAAAGATCAAATTTGTTTTTGACGAGGCTTGTCTGAAATAGTTTGAAGGATTGAAGAAGAAGTTGATCTATGCACCTATTA